TCGGACATGAAAACCTGAGGCGGGCGACGGGGCTGGGCTGCGGACATGTTTGGCCGCTCGCGGAGCTGGGTGGGCGGGGGCCACGGCAAGTCCTCCCGCAACATCCACTCCTTGGACCACCTGAAGTGAGTGTGCGGGGCGCGCGGCGGGGAGGCCGCACGGACGCCCAGACGCGCTGGGCGCCGAGGTGCGAGGCGGACAGGGTCGCTGTGGGAGGGTACTGTGCTTGTTATGCCAGAGGCTTTGGAGTCAGGGCATAGGGCTTCGAACCCTGACCCTGTCGCTCCTGGCCCTGTGTGACCTTGGATAAGTCGCGTGACTTTTTAGTCTCCAGACCCCCAACCTGAAAAGTAAGGGCATCGATGAGTTTTCTGTTTGTGGGCAGGAGTTGTCTTGATGCGGGGTAGACAGTGGCCACTGAGAGTCTCCGGGTGGCACTTCTTGGACTGGATAGTTTAGAGGCCAGAGGGCCCGGAATCGGTCAGATCTGGGTTCGAATTTAGAAGTATGCATTTAAGCTTCAATTTCCTTAGCTGTAAAACGAATAGAGTGACAGAACTACTTTCTGTGGTTATTTTTAGGGTTGGTTGGATAAGAGAATGAACAAAACGCGCAGAACATGTACAAGTGCTCTAAAAAGAACAGTGATTAAAAGGACGAAGTGTTTTCAGAAAGAAATCTAGAGGGATAGTCAGCAGTAGCTCTTAGGGAGAGGAGAGGTGGCAAACCGAGTTCTGGGGACGCAGGAACAAACACAGAAGAGGCTAGCTTTGGAGTTAGACCTGTGTTCAAATCCTGACTCAGCCACTTAATGACTGTGACCTTGGTCATGTTTTATCTCTTTGCTTTTCTAATTTGCCATTACAAACTGGGAACTATGAAGTGTACAAGGATTAGGTGAGGCTGTGCATGCAAAGTGATTGACCCAGTATAGATACACAGCAGGTGGCTAATGGTAGCCAAGGTTTCCCAGCCCACTCTAAATCCTTGCTATTTTCTTTGGTTCTATGGTTTCTTTCTAGCTTTTGTTAAGCTGATACTTCCAAGGCATAGAGGCTGCTTGGTTTCTTTGCAGTTGTATTTCCAGGATGTGGCAGGTGCCTAAGTGCACAGTAAAAACTGAGTGGATACTTGAAGAAGGGGGGGGGGGGGAAAGAAGAAAAAAAATAAATTGAGCAAGAGTTGCAGAACATTCAGGCAGAGCCTTGGGATTGGGTGGGGGTGACAAATTGAGGGAGTGGTGGAAGATAGAGACCATTGAGAAGGAAGAGATTTCTGGGAGGGACTGGAGATGGGGTACTAAGGGGTTGGTATGTTAAGAAGGTAACTTCTTTTCATAGGTGAGCCCACAAGATTTCTAATGCTAAGTCAAGGGAGGAGATGGGAAAATGGTGAAGTAACAATAACAAGGAAGACAGGGATCCCTAGAAAGGATTGGTGAACTAAAAATTAGGTGGGGGCTTCTCCATTGATCTCAGGCGTATAGAATGGCTGCCATGGAGCAAGCATTTAGTAAATGTTTATGGATCTCCAGGTGTGGAGAGCAGGGTGGTTTGGGGGTGGAGCGAGAAGCCAAGGAGAGGAAGGAGGTCGAGGGCAAGAATTGGGGGTTGGTAGGGATGCAGAAATCTTAAACGGGATGGCAGATGGCCCAGAAAGGGAGTGTGGTGTGGATGAGTGAAGGCTGAAGGATTTGAGGAATGTGTGTGTGGATATGGCTGTGAAGGGGAGGGTGTACCCTGAGGGGCCGATTGGGCCTGCTACCAGCCCAAGCACCTGCTGACCCTCCCTTAGCTTGGGCTGTAGCCACTTTGAATTCCCATTTATTGTGTTATTTTTGTCTTGCTAAAGATTTCCTGTTTTCTTTTTAGTCATCACAAGTCTATGAGTTCTAGGACCTTTTATTGCTCCCATTTATGTGGACATGGGGGCTAAGATTCAGGGAGCTTAGATCGCCTGTTCCAAGATGAAATAGCTGAAGACTGTCAGAGTCAGATCTCGACTCTAGTTTCCTTGTTACACTGTCTTTTTGGATAAAACTCACTTTGAAGAAACCTTTGACTGAGCTGCATGTCATGGTCAATAGGCATCTTTGCTGGTCAACCAGTGCACACCAGGGACTGTAAGGGGCCTCAGGTTCCTTTCCAATATCCCGGGAACTTCTCAGATTCATTGTTGAGGTCACTGGAAAAAGAGCTTGCCTGCCTTGGTTCAGGCTGATTTGTTTGATTGCTATCACAGCCTTGGGAACCTGAGTATTGATTGGCGCGGACTTAGCGATTTCAAGGTTACTTGGAAAAGGGTACCACAGACAGCTAGTGCCTATGCTTGTGCTTGCCATGGCTGTGGTAGTAAGCATCTTGGGGACAGAGTAGCAAGTTCCCTGGGGGAGTCTGCTGGCTGCCTCTGGAAGACCACAGTAGAGTCAGGACTCTACAGTATGTCAAATGCAGGAACTGCAGCAGGTCCAGGGGTCTGTAGAATCCCTTCTAAGAATCTTCTGGAGGAAGAAATGCTAACTCAGAGTCCCCAAATGGGAAAGAGTCATCATAAGGCACAGCCATATTGTGGGTACTGTAGTCATGTTTGTGGCAGATCCAGCTGGGTTTGGTGGCTATAGAAAACAAGGCTGTGAGTAGGAAGAGGCTTTCTGACATGTAGGGTGATGAACACTTAAAGTTTGTCCTGCACTGGAGGGTTTCCCAGGACATAGGACTTTCAGTGCTAAAGCCAGGAAAGCCTTGAGCAAGCCAGCACAAATCCTAGTTATGAGTGACAGTCCCAAATCCTTTAAAACAAAACAAAAAAATTAAAAAATTAAAAAAATTGTCTTTTCATAGTTGGTCTAGAATCCATAATCCTCCTGCCTTCATCTCTAGATAGGGATTCCAGGCATGCACCACCGTGCCTGGCCTACAGTACATTCTTGCTCTGATCTAGCACAGTCCTGGTGGAATGAGGGGTTAAGATTTTAAGAAAATTGAGAACAGAAATCTTTAGTTGTTGGTTTTTACATTTCTTTCTGCAGGGGGCACAGAGGTGTACGGAGGAATGAGACAAGGTCTTGCTCTGACTGTCCTCAAACTCTTGCTCCTAAGTGCTGGGATTACAGACATACATCACCATGACATACATGCCCATGTCCATACAGACATATATGGCTAACCCTTGCTGTAAAAATACCCTTTCCAGCCATGCAGAGGTGGCAAATGTCTTTATTCTCAGCACTCAGGAGGCAGAGGCAGGCAGATCTTTCTGAGTTTGAGGACAGCTTGTTCTAGGGTGAGTTCCAGGACAGCTAGGGCTGTCACACAGAAAAAGAATATTCTTTCCTTCACAGCACACCCATCTTACAAACTGGAAAGACACTTTCCTGTGTCACAGGGTTTTACTTTTGCTAAACTGTGAAAAACTACCTGAGTTATTTACTTACCAAGTTGGGTCAGTCATTTAGTAGGGGGCAGATGGAATAGTCATTACACACCATTGGTGGTTTATTGCCCAGACTAGTGACAAGACTGTGACATTAGCTGACAAATGTGTATCACTAAGCAAAACATCTACTGATGGAGTCCTTTGGTTGTTACTGAAATGTTATTTTGAAAGGGGAACTGAGAGCCCACAAATTGATAGAACCTTGGTTGTTATATCATTGTCTTATAGTCTCACCACACTAGTCACAGTGTGGTGTCAAGATTCTTGGTCCAAGTGACGGATCCTTCTAAGTTGCCTTACGTGCTAATGGAGTCGATTGGCGTGTTCTAGGTATGCCATGGCAGAGAGCAGGTGCTTAGAAACAGCTGTCAGGAATCTGCCACCTTCCTCCTGGTCTCCTCCTCAGCAGGTTCTGGGTACCTGTTGTGTCTGTCAGCTTAGCCATCCAATGGGAATAGAGGTTCCTTCTCTTTTTCTTTTCTCCATTCATTCCCTCCTTCCTATTTTGCCTGTTTTTATGTCTGTGTGAGAGTGTCAGATCTTGGAGTTATAGACAGTTGTGAGCTGTCATGTGGGTGCTGGGAATTGAACCCAGGTCCTCTGGAAGAGAAGCCAGTGTTAACCGATGAGTCATTTCTCCAACCCCCCCTTCTCTTTTTAAACTTTTTTTGTCAGTTTCATGCACGTATCATGATCCTATTCACTCCCCCTTAGATCTCCTTTTCTGCCCAGACCCTGCATCTTCTGCAAGCATCTTCATAGCTTCTAAGATTCAGTGAAAAGTTATTATTCCTGGGCCTGAGGACTGAAGCAGTGACCACTGTACAAGGGGAGTGTTCTCCTCTTCTACTGCCACCTGCATCCTGGGAGCAGGAGAATCCTTTGGCTTTCAGTTGCCAGGTCAGCCAGGTCTTGTATGTGAAGGCTAACATTCTCATAGGCCTCAAAGTACTTCAGACTATGTTCCTACCCACCCAGTCTGGGAGCATAAGCACTGGGCCAATCATCGTGGCTTTGGAGGCTGTCCTGGATCTCGCTCTTGTAGACCAGGCTGGTCTCGAACTCACAGAGATCCGCCTGCCTCTGCCTCCCAAGTGCTGGCATTAAAGGCATGCGCCACCACCACCCGGCATGGTGAGCAGACCCTACAAATGCAGACTGCCAGGATCTAAGAAATGAGTAGTTATCTCCAGGTAGTGGGGTGGTAGGGATGGGAGGGGAGGGTATGTCTCAGGCTCTGGAGACTGCCTTGAGAAGGGCTCCTGAAAGGTTGAGTGAGTAGCTTGTGCTGGCACAGAGCCAGTTGTTCAGTGAGGTCCAGGACCCTAGGAACTAGGACCGGATCCCACTGAGCCTGAAGAACCATACTAGGGAATCGAGACTTTATGTTGCAAACAAGCAGTAGGGACCCTTTATCATAAGGTGAAGAGTTGTAGGGGGCAGCCACTCTAGACAGCAGCCATACCCTGGTGGGTTATTGTGGCACCTGCTGGAATCCAAGTTTATTATCGTGATGGCCCTTCTCTCGGTAGCACATATCTACATGCCATCTGTCTGTACCTTTGCTCTCTTCACTTCAGCTCTCTCCTCTTCTTCCTGCCCATCCAAAATTCCTAGCCCTAGCTTTAAATTGCTGCTGCTTTGATACACATTGCCCCAGTGGCTTTAACCAGTCAGACTCTCATGCTGT